CCAGCCGTGGCGGCTTCACCAGCGAACGCCGAGCTCATGATCTACCAAAGTATAAAGATATGCTTTGCCATAGGTAGGATTTCAGAGGGGCCCCACGTTTTTATTTTAGTCTAATATGCCCAAAAGCTATTCTGCCTAGTACTAAAATATTTCTGAACTAGAAGTTCAAAATACCTAATTGTTATTATTATTTTCTAGTTTTCAGTGCACATAAGATAAAACCGTTTAAATTAAAAGTTTTTTTACCGATTTTTTATTTTTTAAATATTTTCTTTTGATCAAAATATATTAGGAAACAAAAATAAATTAATTATAAATATATAAACAGTTATTATTTACATCAACCAAACTCACCTCCGTAACAGCACTTAAGGGGTATAAAGGACCATTACTATGGCTTTCCCGTTCAAAATATTCTAATAAGTTTCTGCAACGTTTTTTGCAACGGCTATTAAGCTATCCGGTACCAATTTGCGCTAAAAGAGGTTCTAAAAAGAACAATGTTCGACTGCAAGGTCTGCTAGTAAAAATGTTTAAGCTTAAAGTTTTACAGCACAATTCATTTAAACATGATTTAAACTAAAAACTCGTAATCCAAAATTAAAGTGTCAAAACGAATGACAATGTCAGGAAGTAAATAAATATATGTGACAACTTAAAATTTTTACAGCAGAGCTACCACCTGAATCCCAGCGGGAAATTTAAGTTCTAATTAATCAGCCCGGCGACGAATATGTTCCGATGGTTGACAACAATAAATTTAAATGTCGCTCCCTAGATTACGTAACTGAAAGTTTAATTTTTGTCAAATATATTAAGTTATGTCTAATTGCATGACTAGAATTATTGTATTGAGAGTCAATTTGACTAGTCCAAAAAAGTAGCAAAATAAAAGCGTTCGGCATTTAACGTTTAACGGAAATTAAATATAAAGGATTATACTATGTCGGTATTGTAGCACATTTTCAGATAACTTCTTTATTTTTAAGATTTCGATGGTGAAACATTAACAAAATATAGCTTATATTTGTTTGCAGAAGACAAGAAAAGCTAAAAAATAAACACATTTCAAGAGTATGCCAAGGGCTAAAAGAACATACAATTAACAACAGAACTCACAAACTGTACGACGTTATAACGTCACCTTGGGTGAAAAAAGTTTATAATGGGAACTCAGGTTCACCAGGTTCCGTTACAAATAGGTTCCAGCTAGCTCAGTGAATAATTAAGTTAAATATATATGCACAGAACAAGAGATATCAAAAGGGAGGTGTATGGAAAAAGTGTACTGATTGAAAAGTCTAAAATGTACTGGATTCGTTTAATAAATATTAAATTTAAAGTTAAAACAAATTGTCAAGATCTATCATAAAATGTAGCAAATATTTAAATACGAAATAATGAAATATATATATATACTAGTAAAAATGAACTATCCGTAAAATAAATTAAATCATGAATAGTATCACAAAATATTGTTGTGACTAAACTGTGAACAACCCTGATGCGTATTTGTGATTATGATTAAATGACTATAAAAAATAAAATGAAATTTAAATGTAAAAAAAAATCCCCTGGTAGACCAAGTTCACATACGATCGTATTTTAATGTAATAAATTTTAATCAATCATAAACGCAATAAAATAAGAGATGATTAAAGTCTTATCTGTCATCCAGTGGTCGTTCCAGTCAGTCCATGAGAAAATCCAGGTGTCTGGTCTTCAGTATCCCAGTGGCATTCCTCGTCACAGTGGCATTCACGTCACAATGGCATTAGTTGCAGTACCAAATCCAGTACAAAAAATTGATAAAAATCTTAAGCTAAACCGTAATCATCACTAAGGAGTAATAGCTACAAGGAACAAGAAAGAAGAAGAAGAAGAACCCTAAAATATGATCTATTTTAGTGACATGTTCTGATTTGGGCTTAATAAAATACCTTTCCACCATGTGGACGTTCCAAAACAAAATGGCGTCGCCACACGTTACTCCATGGAAAAGGGTTCTTTAAAAGTCCTCGTACTCATCTCGTACGACCATCACACACAGTCCGTGTTGTAAAATCCTGTCCTCTAAAATAAATAGTTGTACAAAAGAACATTACACAGTGTACGTATGTCTCTTACCAACTGACGAATATATCCCTCTACAAGGCTTCTCTGGAATTCTGAACCACACACAGGCCAAAATCGCCCACAACTAGTGCCAAAACTGCACAACCAGTCTTCTCGACCCACAATAGAATTCCAGACAACTCCAAAGAAACAATCCCAATTCGGAACGGCAAAGCAAGGCCAAAAACTTCAATGGAGTTTTTATCAGTCAGTCAGGATCAGAAATGCTGCGTTTACCACGGCGGTTCGAAGTACAAGGGCGAGTTATTTGCAAAATCCTCAGAACATGCTCGATTCCAAGTCAGAAATACCAACATAAAATATAACACAGGCAACCAGTAAAACAAAAGACCCAAAATAAAATTTGACATAAAATTTTATTTAATGCATACAGATTGAGTGAAACATTTTATTACATCATAATAAAATTATAATAATCCCTATACGAACATAATATCTTCGGAAAATTATTAATACATTTTCCGATCATATATAAAAAAACCGTTTAAAAAGATCGAAAACCTAATTTACAAAGATCTGTCAACCTTCAACGCCGGTGTCACACAATCAGCTGACAAACAATTGAAACGTCAGTCTGTAAATCGTAATATAAACAAGATGTAATTTAGGGAAAACTCAACTATAATCAGGTAAAACCAATTGATTCCACACAGGAAAAATACATAATAAAATCCTTAACCCATATGTATATATGCAGACCCAATATTCCCACTTGTTGCGTTGAAAACAGACAAAAGATAATCACATCAAGTCTATGTTCAAGAATCCTCCGAAGAAATATGCCAAGAATTATCCTAACACAAGCATAAGTCTAAATAAAGAATTAGTAACCACTGTAGAAAGAAAGGTAGTTTTAAACAGACAAATTGATATTATATTAATGAGCTTTTATATTACAGTTATCGGAGACAACTCCATCCAAAGAAATTGTTGTGATGATGAGACTTATAGATAAGATATTATTAGAAATTATATGCCCCACGTTGGGCGCCAAAATTGCCACGCCCTTTCTTATTCGAAGTTCAATAAAACACAAAGTTTACTTAATCTGAATGAGTTGCATAGAGGCCACTAGCTTTTTAATTTTAACAGCCATCAATAAAAGGGCGCCACGAGATTATACTCTATGAACTCGGCAATAAAGATGTAACTATTAAGTAGACTTCAACACTAACCTCGAACTGTTGAGTGCAACTATCATGAACTTCAAATATTCTATAACTATTTGTACTTAAGTGACTCTAACTTAACTATGAGACTAGACTGTAAATAATACTACTAAAAATATTTAAGCAATATATTGAAATATTAAAAAGTTAAATAGGATATATAAAAAGTTATTATATAAAGAAAAGAAATGAATGAAATGTAATTGAAGGTAAATGAAAATAGATGTAAAGTGAAATGAAATTTAAATCAATAAAACTAAAAGTATGACGTCATAATCCCCCTTACTTAAACTAAGTACAAAATCCTGGGTAGATTACAAATATCAAACTAAATCTAAACAGTCTTACTCTAATCGATATACAATCTTGAAACAACTCGGAAGTTCCTCCGGCTGAGCTACGGTGTATAGCTACAGGGTGGCTACGGCGGTGCACAGCAGCTCGGTGTACTGTCACTGGAGCCCACGGATTTCAGCAGACGTACGGATGCCGGCCAGGTGTAGGACTTCAAAAGGTGAACATAAAAAAAACCTCAATGAGGGTTTATGATGTCCAACGGGTAACTCTACACACGGGCAACAGGAACGGATGGAATTCTGGACTGTTCTGTTCTACGGTCTGGATCGGTCTTCTTGCTCTTGAACTATCGGGGACTTCTTGGGCACGTGGAATCGGAATATCGGTCGGAAAATTTGGCTATTTAATCCCTTACGGAAATTGGTCGGCGGTCCATAAAAATCATCAAAATCCAACCACGCCTCTGACCAAAGGTGTTTCGAAGCCTTAATCCTTCTCTAGGAAGACCTGCTATTCACCTACAGGGAATGCTTCACGAAACGGCAGCCAGTTCTTCACGACGACACTCTTCAGCCGGGGAGTACACAAGAAGTGATGCAAGGATTCGATTTCCTTCACAAAATCAGATTTCAAACGGAAATCTCCTCCAGGATATAGATAGAGAACTATATATCTCGACTAGTCCAACTCACAAAAGGCATAAATAAAAACGACGTTCTAGAATATTTTTCATTGTCATAATTCATATCCGGTCAATGAACGAACTTATTCACAAGTTCCCACCATTAAATGAACGAATTGCACACTGCGATCCACATCAAAAATAACCAATTTAACTACGAAATTTTATCTGATAATTATAAAATTTCAATAACCAAAACAAAGGATAAATAAATCTAAAAACATCTGATTTGATCTGACAGTGACAAGGGACAAGTGATGACCAAAGATTTAGAGAGATGGACAAAAATTCTAATGCTGGGCGGCATCCAGTGATAATATTCTGTGGCTCTATAGCGCGGTGTATATCGGGTTGCATAATTGTAAAATTTAAATAAAATAATATTTAACAATAAAATTATAGTAAACATGATGCAAAAATAATAGCTATTTGCGATATTTTATGAGCTAGCACACAGAGGTCGTTGCGAGGAAATTTGACTGTTACAATGTACAGTTAAGAAGTAAGCTAATTAAACGTTATTATTCAAGTTATTCAAGAAAGTTTTAGTTTTATTCCTAAAAATAAGCAAAATAAGTAAAATAAGTTACGGTGAAATTTTGAACCGTAACAACATATATTATGGAGTTTTTGTAGATTCGTAGACACATATATTTCACAATGGAATGCTTTTTTCAATGATTTTAAAATGGTTTAAGTCAGAGATTGTTACTTACAGTTCATATCCACGTGCAATGTAGCTGCTAATGGCCCAGTTTTGTTGTTGTTAGTGGCTTGACAGGTTAGTTCGGAATGGACATCTTTCCTACTTAAGTTTGTGATTCTTAGTTCACTCCTCACTGTTCTTAAACTCGGAGAGGTCGTGGTTGTTGAGGAGGATACTCCCATTCTGCTTGTGTTCTGTACTGGTTGGTCGTTAATGAACCATAACACTTTTGGAGGTGGTTTTCCTGCAAAGAAAATCGGAGTTAATTAATATATTTTATGTTTGGGCGGTTTAAAATATCTCTATTTTTGTACAATAAATAGTATTTTTTTCTTTTTGAATTTTGTGGTAGTTTTAAACCAAATTATTTTCTTTAAGGGTAGTATAAAAAGTTTTACATTCTGTCTATTTGATAGCTATATTTTAATAAAGTTACCTTCAATAAATTTGTTTGAAAGATATTGCCCGAATTTATATACGACTATGAAAGTTACTGCCAATTAAATATAAATGTTCTCTACTTCCTTTACGTCACTTTTAAGAGCTCTACATATGTTACTAAATGTCATACTTAGAATATAGGGGATGATACTTTTTATATGAAATTCAGAAACTGCAAAATTCGGCCATAAAAATTATATTTCCTATAAATTTACTACTTTGCTCGAAGTAACTGTCGAAGTTTTTTGAAAATGGTAAAATAAAAAAATAAAAATAAAACACTCTGGTTACATTACAAAAGTAGTACGTTAGTAGTGGCTGAATAATGTGATTAGGAGTATGACAGAGACAAACCATTTCCTGTATGTTTAACTTTTTAGTGTCTTTTTTGGGAAAAAAATTAAAGAAAAAATAAAAACATATTAAATATTCTGTTGTTACATCACCAGAGAGTGGTACAAAGTCCCCCATGTCTTCAGATGACGATGAAATATTAGGAATATCATAGAGGTAAAACTCTTGCCTGTATATACCGGGTGCGTCTCAAAAGTGGCTCACCCCTATAACTTATGTTATTTTTCTTCATATAAAACAACGAGATTTGGTGTGTTAGTTCATGACATAAATTAGGATTGATTGACATATTCAATTGTTTTCGGCCACTTCCGGTTACACCGGAAATGACTACAACCTTTGATTTTTGAATGGCACTCTTGGTGTTTTTTTTACTTTATTCGATAGAAAATGACACTCTGAATAGAATGATATATCATATGTCAACTTTTGATATTTTTGCATATGGTTTATTTGAAATTATAACATGCGGTTCATAACGACAACTTGACTCGAAATACCAAGTGTGTGGTACTTTTGAGGCGCACCCGGTATTGTTGTGTTTAATAAAAAACATCCTGTGTATGGTGGTGCTCTTGTGTGCATATTTGACGTGAAACTTCTTCTTACTTCCGTCTGTCTGTCTGTCCGTCTGGCCGTCTGAGCACTCTATTCGGGTACCACTATCCACGTGCCGAATATGGTTCCAATCCACTCATAATTAAGATAAATCCTAATGATCTTCTCAATTCAGAGACATCTGTTTAAAATATTGAGGACGTCATCCTGTAGCCCGTTTCCAGTTATATCAAAATTGACCATATTTTTCTTCAATATCAAATCGTTAGTCCCACTCTGATGAAGATGTAAACGAAACGTTGTATCCAACTTTGCAGGGTGGCATCGGGTTCACCTTCGCTTACATAGCCTACCCACCAGATAGCCAAGAGCCTTACTACAACAAAAACTCCTAAATCTGACTTCCACTCCTTTTTTGAACTGGTTTAATAAATGCTGTAATTTTATAAATTGTACTTATTATAAAGCTCAATTCATTCTTCTCTTCTATTCTACATTTTTGTAATCAAAACTTTATGTGATTTGTATCTGTATTTTATTGACTTTATTTGTTTGACTTTTCCCAAACATATTTTACCTCTTTTGAAAAAAGAAAAATTATTATAAAATAAAAAAAAATTTTGTGAAGATTGTGAGGTCCACATGTGTCTCTTTCCACTCATTAGACGATTTCCATTAATTAATATGAACTCGCATTGGGTCAATGAACGTTTATTAATCAAACGAAACCTGTTTTTTTCTTTATTTAAATAAAGTCTGGTTATTTGTAAACAAACTGGGATTTGTAAAACAGCCTTCATACAATAACACTTCATACCGACAAAACATTATCAAATATAGCTAAGCATATACTGGATGTTTTGATTTGGTTTGGTAATAATTTCTGTCACAGTATATCGACTCGTATCTTGCAATATTTCCTAACTTTAAGGTTTTTACACAAATGGAAAGAAGAAGGAAATTAAACATAAAGGATTATACTATATCCGTATTGAAGCACATTTTTAGATAACTTCTTTATTTTTAAGATTTTGATAGTCAAACATCAACAAAATATTCCTTATGTTTCGATTAAATTTTCTCAAAAATAAAGACATAATTTAAAATTCCGTTACAATACGGAAATAGACTGAAGTTTTGTGATTACAGCGATACATAATTTATATGGTTTTGTAACAAATTACTCGCTATTTTATGGCAAATTCTGAAGCTCTGCATACCTTAATCAAGCCTTAATCAAAGCACGGGCGTTTGGAATTTTGGGTTTGGCTTAACACGATAGGACTGGGCTGAGATTTCTGAAATATAATATATATCTCCTTCGGCCACACAGTGGCTTCACCCGATCCCTGAGAGCGACACAAACAGTACAGCGTAATAGACTCTTAATAAAACATAAAAAAAATTATGTGAAATATTTATTCTGTTTTTGTCAAGTAAACATAAATGCAAAATATAACATGGAAAATCCGAAAAAAAAACACTTCTTTCACTTAGGAGAAAATGCAGGCTCCAAGTCGATATACTGACGAAACTCGCAGGCATTGCAAGTAGAAAATGGCAACTTTAGTATAGTGGGGTGAGATGGCTGAAAAAAGTTTCACATCTGGCAACCAATACGCCCTTTTGGATTCAGAAAGCAGATAGATAGACGAGTCTAAAAAGCTCGGAACACAAATTTTTCTGGCCCTCTAGCGGTCTTGATGACGTAATCAAAACGGCCGCCAAAATTTTTAGACACACTTCTATATTTCCTGGTTATACTCAATTTTCCTTTGATATTAAAGCATATGTTTTAGTGGTTATGAATTAGGAGAAAACATGCTTCCCAACGATGTATTTGGTTTTTATGTTTTTTTTTTTTTTTTTAATAAATCTTGATTTTTTATTTGTTTTTTGAATTTTTTATTTTTTCCATTTCGCAATTTGCTAAAATACCTAAATCAGTTACATCTTAGCAAAAACGTTTGTCATTATGCTTTTTTGTTCGCTAGCAGAATTAGTCTTTCAGCGGTAATATGCTTCTATTTTGTCACTAAACGTTTTTGACAATTTGCCAAAATATTGTAGCGTTACACATCTATAGTCGTATTGTAAAAACACAATTTATATAGATCCTGAAAAGTAATACAACGACCTAATGACTATCTAACTATCAATTGCTAATGTGTGGAAATTTTTAATGTATTTGCTATATCACATACTCGGAGATGGTGTTTACCCTCTAAGTCGTGTCCCACTGTGTTTGTAACATCAGCAGTAGATAACATTGATCACAACCAGTCGTCTTCTACTGCCGTTACTTCTTTCCATGGTTCAAGTGTTACTATTATTTAGCATCCTCGCAGTGAAGCAACTCTAGAGATAGACGATGACAACATTCGTATCAACCATGACGCCAGTGGAACAACTATAATCCCAAATTGGTCTACCTGAATATTACACTACTCTTCCTGTAACTGGTAAAGTAACAAGTGATCCACCTTTGCCAACTGTCAATCCACAGTACACCGACCACGATCCTGCATTCACCCCTAGGAAAGTTTTAAATCATTGGCTTAACTCTGTCCTGCAGAGAGTGTATATTGACGACATACAAGTATGTGCCTACGAGCATACATACAACAAGTATAGTACATACGAGCACATGCCCTACAATATCGTTTTGCCCCTTTTCTATGCACACAATGGAACCTGGTATTTAAAAAAATTAGGAGGTAATGCGTCGTTGCTTCCACTTCTTCACTGCAGAATTACATGCAAATTCAAATCCAGGTGTACATGCTCAATTTCTTCGTAGTAACTTTACGAGCAGCAAAATTGCTACAACTTTTTCTGCAATATCTGACTGATCTGCTCATGCAAGCACAATAATTAAAGTATATAAAAGGTGAAGAAATGGAACATATCACAACAACATATCCAAACGAGCCAGAATAATAACAGATGAAATTATTAAGAAAATACATTTCCAAGGCACGGGATTTGATTGCAAAAGTCTACAATACACGATACATTCACCAACCGAGTGGGGATGGATACTAACTTCGGAAGGATCGTACCGACCTGTGTGGATAGCAATTCCAGAAGTTTCAAAACACTGTGTAGAACTTACCTCCTGTACTTGCCGCAAGCGATGTACATCTTGTAAATGTGTTAAAATGGGAATACGCTGTACAAAACTTTGTGTATGTGAAGGACAGTGCTCGGATAGTGATCGGTAATCATAAGTGAACGGGTAATGCAAATCCTCTACTCTGTATATGACTTCTGTAACTATTGTATTAGAATTTAGAACTTTAGAATGACTGGGAGGGGGGTTAATCACTTCGACCTTACAGATCCATTGTGTTCCCCTTTCTTGAATCATAACTCATCATACAGTCCCAGGGCTTTGACAAAAGCCAGTATCTGGGACGGTTTTATAGAGGGTAGTTCTCCATCCCCAATAACAGTCGTACCAAAATTCACGGCACGAATGGTCTGTCGTCTCGGCGCACTCAGTGATGAGAGTGTACTGGTGTTCCCCGATCTTCCCCACAGACATCGCATTCGCCGTTTCTTTTAATTTTCAATCTACTGAGGTTCATTGAGGGACAGTGTCCTGTAAAAACCCCGTTGACAATTCCGAAGATTGTTCTCGTACTTCAGACCCATGGAAGATCATGTGGATTTTCTTGACTCATAAGCCCTTCAGAAACTTTTTCGGAATTTCTTAGACCATTGCAAGATTTCATTCCAGGTTGCGGATGGAAATCTCGTCAAAAGGTGTTGACTTCTGGAGTTCCGCCTTGAGTTTGTTACAAGGCTTGAGAAGAGCTTCACAACGGTTCTGGTTCTCCAGTTAGTGGAGTTTCGCTTCCTTTCCTATCTAGATTATTTGCTTTTCCA